TTGCTGAGCTCATCGACTTTGCTGCTCGCTGTCGTCTCGACTACGCTGCTAGTCTTGTTGCTGAGTCTGCGTCTGTCTGTCCTCCGTCCGTCGGGGGTGAGTGTGCTCTTGGCACGGACGTCCTAGAGGACAGGCAGGAGGAGTTACAGTGTCTAGCGGCTGCTTCACCTCATCTCGCGTCTGTTCTGCTTGCCCCTGAGGGAGACCCGGATGCACTAGACATCCCGACTCCGCGTTCTTACGCGGAGGCCGTAGAGGGTCCCTACTCCTCTCAGTGGCAGGCAGCTATGGATGCAGAGATGGCTTCCTGGAAGTCCACAGGCACCTACGTTGACGCGGTTCCCCCTCCTGGGGCGAACATCGTCAGTGGCATGTGGATCTTCAGGGTGAAGCGGCCGCCGGGCTCTCCACCTGTCTTCAAGGCACGGTACGTTGCTCGTGGCTTCAGTCAGCGGCAGGGAGTTGACTACTTTCAGACCTTCTCTCCCACCCCGAAGATGACTACTCTTCGGGTGCTGCTGCACATAGCCGCTCAGCGCGACTACGAGCTTCACTCTCTCGACTTCAGCACTGCGTTCTTGCAGGGTAGCCTGCACGAGGAGATCTGGCTTCGCCGTCCACCTGGCTTCACTGGGACTTTCCCTCCTGGCACCCAGTGGAGCCTCCGACGGCCAGTCTACGGTCTCCGCCAGGCACCGCGTGAGTGGCACGACACACTGAGGACTACGCTTGCGGCTCTTGGGTTTGCTCCTTCTACTGCTGACCCGTCGCTGTTTCTTCGCACCGACACTTCCCTGCCGCCGTTCTACATCCTCGTGTACGTCGACGACTTGGTCTTTGCCACAGCGGACACTGCTGGACTCGCCTACGTGAAGTCCGAGCTGCTGAAGAGACACACGTGCACAGACCTGGGTGAACTGCGCAGCTACCTTGGCTTGCAGATCACTCGGGACAGAGCACGCCGCACCATTACCTTGACTCAGTCACACATGGTGCAGCAGGTCCTTCAGCGCTTCGGCTTCACGTACTCCTCGCCTCAGGCCACTCCTCTGCCTACTCGCCACTCACTCTCAGCTCTGCCTTCGGATGAGTCCGTAGAGTCGAGTGGTCCGTATGCAGAGCTTGTTGGCTGCCTCATGTACCTGATGACCTGCACACGACCTGACCTTGCATACCCTCTGAGCATTCTTGCACGCTATGTTGCTCCTGGGAGACACAGACCGGAGCACATGGCTGCAGCGAAGAGGGTATTGCGCTACCTGTGCAGTACGTCGGGCATGGGGCTAGTGCTTGGAGGGCGGAGTCCAGTGGTCCTTACCGGCCACGCGGACGCTTCTTGGGCTGACGACCAGGCTACGCAGCGGTCGTCACAGGGTTACACCTTCAGTCTTGGTTCCAGCTCTGTCTCGTGGCGGTCTACTCGCTCGTCTTCGGTTCTCGGCTCCAGTTGTGAGGCTGAGATCTACGCCGGGGCCATGGCTGCACAGGAGCTTCGCTGGCTCACCTACCTGCTGACTGACCTTGGAGAGCCGCCTCGTTCTCCTCCAGTGCTGTACGTAGACAACAAGGCCATGCTGGCCTTGTGTCGAGAGCAGCGCTTGGAGCACAGAACGAAGCACATTGCTCTCCGCTACTTCCTTGCTCGTGAGCTGCAGCAGCGTGGTCAGTTGCGACTTGCGTACGTGGCCTCTGAGGCCAACACTGCTGATGTGTTCACCAAGGCACTCGCGCCTTGTGACCATCAGCGCTTCTGCACCCAGCTGGGTCTTGTGCCTGTCTTGCCTCACTTGCTCTCCTCTTGACTTCTCTTGTACTGTGACATATATATATGCCTGCTCTTGCTTGTCTAGTTTTATATATATGTCTGTACTCCTGCATGTGAACTGGCCTCTGGCCCTACTCTTGTGCTCGGACTGTGTGGTGACTTTGTGATCCACCCTGAGCTTGCTTTGCTTTGCTTGACTGGTCTTGTGACCCCTTGTTCTCCCCCACTTTGCCTATGGGGGTGTGTCAGATTTATATGACATAGTTGCTGTAGGCTATAGTGGGGTAGCACATATGGGGTACAGGTTTTCTAGGGTTGTATTTGTACCCAATCTTTCCTTAGTCATTTCATTCCTGTTCTTCAGTTTCACAATACGTCGGCTAGCAGTTTCTGTAAATCCCCTCCTTTGTCTGCTGCCTCAGCTTCCCGAATGTCAGCCGCGTACACGTCAGCTCCTGCCACTACGGCGCGTTTCATCGTGATCGCGTTGACACGCACCGACGAAGACTCAGGCGAGCCCCAGCGAGGTAAGGCGATGTTGTTACCGTTCACCCGTCGTCCAGTCGATTCGCGGATTGTGTCGTCGCAACCAATCACGCCCGAGTAAAATATCGGTTCCGTCGTGGGTCGTTGCGAGCATTTCTTGGCTAAACGTGAAGTTACCCCCGCATCGAATCCGAACTCGGTCCACACATTCCTCTATCGCCAGTGGCGTGCCGTCGACCAGTCTTGCGTCGATCTCAGGTAAACATCTGTCCAGTGGCAGTCGCAGTTTCCGTGCTGTGGCAGTATTGATAAGGCTGTGGCTGCCCCCTCTATCTACGAAGATTTTAACTAAGTCCGTCCCGATTTTCCCACTATGCAGTATAGGGCTGTCTACCGTAGTACCCTCCTTATTCGGTCGGGTGTGGTCGATTGCGTGAACCGGCACAATCACTCGGTGAGGGTCGGTTGGGTCGGGCGAGAGGCGTGACTGGCTAGTAGAGGGCCTCTCTGCTACTGACTCCCAGCGTTTCCGTGCTGCTTGGTCTGCTTCTGCTGCTCAGCTTCCCCCTTTCCCTTAGCGTTTTCTGGGCATTCGTTCTTGCGGTGTCCCGGCCGATTGCACGCAAAGCAGCGCCCTTTGAACGGTGCGGCAGCGGCATTTGCGGCGACGGCACGTATCGTAGCGCCCTCGTTTGTCCCACGAGGCCGATGTCCCCAATTGCTGCTCCCGTAGGACCCCGGTCTCGGTCGGCGGAAGAAATCAAGTTTCTCCGCCATGGCGAGAATCTCCTGAAAGTCGGTGACTCCGCGAAGCTGGATTTCCTGAGCGATGTCCTGCTTCAGGCCGCCGATGTAGCGGTCGATGCGTTCGCTCTCGCGCATGTATCCCACCTGCTCACATAGCGCCAGAAACCCGCTCGTGTAGTCTTGGACGGAACCAAGTTGGCGCCAAGTGCGGAGCCTCTGTCGCGCCGCGATCGAAGCCGCAATTGGCTCAAACGAGCGCGCAGACCTGCGCACCACGCTGTCAGTAGAGGGCGGTTATGGGCGCACTGACCCGCTACTGAAACAAGCCCTTTTATCCCAATGGTCTAGTGGTTGGGATTCTGACACACGCGTCCCACGTGCGATACTAGGGCACCTCCACGAAATACGACGGCGCCCAGGGTCTGGTTTGTCCTTCCCGTATCGGTAGAGTCGCGTAGTCCACCAGCTTCGTGACGATGACACGCCACCAATCCATGGCGGGTCCTCGCAGCAACGACATGGCGTAACAAATCTTTGCCGTATCCTCCGAGACGTAGTTCGCGTCGAAGAAAACGTTCAACGTGAAGAGCCACGCCTGAACGGTAGGACCACCCCGCTGACCTGGATCAAAACATGGCGGACGCTGCGGCTTCAGCGGCATCGGCGACGGTAGGGTTGATTCGCCGGCCTGCACGGAGATCGTGACTCGAGGCTGATTCCGGGCCGCATTCGTCGCGTCGGGGTGTGTCGTGCCGTGGTCGTCGTCTTCGTCATGGCGGACGACGCCATCACTTGCGGCGCTCGCGGGTTGCCCCACACTTCCGTGTTACGATGTCTGTGGTGCGGGCTGAATCGGAGTGCCAGGTGGATTGTGCTCGTGCGAGGTCGTTTTGCAGGGAGGTGCGTTCCGCCGTTAATGCTGCGATTTCCTCGGAGCTTTCGTGCAGTTGTCGCATCAGCTCATCGAGGCGGTCCTGCGTGAGGCTAGTGACGTCAATGCGTTCAGCCATTCCGAAGGCCGTCGGCTCTTCTTAGTCTAGGCGCAGTCGTGGCTGTATGCGTTTACGAGAGAACACGAGGACAGCGGCTCCTAGGGGCTAAGGTGCGTGAGTCCCTTTGAGTGAAAAATCAAAAGTTGATTTCCTGAGGTGCGGAGATGCGCGGTCCGAAAGGAAAGAGGCTATGAATACCAAGTGTTACGAGTACAAAATGTGAGCGAAGGCATGAGCGAACATTTATACGCGAAACATGCCAACGGTAACGCGGTGCGTGCAAGCTAGCTAGTGCTACGCTGTAAGCGAAGCTTGGGCCAGTCCCGAAGCGTAGGCCGACGCGGCCGGTCCAGCAGTGCGAGGTTTGGGAAAACAGTGCGCGCGAGGTCGGCGAAGCCCCATTAGCAGAAACGGGCGAACAACGGCTGCTGCTGTAAGCGGTGTTGCAGGGTGCGCTAAGGAATATCGAGAAAATTCCTTAGAAGTACCCACAAATGCAGATACGTTTCGAGGACGTTGGCAGGCCTGTTGATGCCGAGTAACGAACGCTTCGCTTAGGGCCCGTCCCCTCCCTCGATCGCTCGCGAGTTCGCCGTGAAAAACCGACCGGGCACACCGATCGCAGGTTTGGGGTAGGTTTGGGCTGCAGTTACTGTACATTCGCAGCCCATCTCGAAGTCAGGTTACCCTGTCAATTGTGACACTGTAGCTGTCCCTCGATCGATCGAGGGCAGGATCGATCGAGGGAGGGACCGCGCCCTTAGCCAAATACCTTTCTCTTTCGCTTTCGCCCTCCCCGAATTCCCAATAGCTCGTTGTGCAAACTGTCGCTAATCCAGAATCGGGTTTTAAGTTCTCACATATCCAGACCTCCATATATTGTTGCGAGGTGACATCCAAGTATTTTTTAGTGTTGAACTAACAACCACCTCCTTCCTACTATCAACCCACCACCACCCTCGTCCTCCCCGTCTCGAATCCCTCTTTCTTTCCGCCAATCGCGCGTCATCATGTTGGCGCTGGGCGTGGAGGGGTCGGCGAACAAGCTGGGCGTGGGCGTGGTGCGCAGCGACGGGAGCATTCTGAGCAACCCGCGCTGCACGTACATCACGCCGCCCGGCCACGGCTTCCTCCCGCGCGAGACGGCGGCGCACCACCAGCAGAAAATTCTGCCGCTCGTGGAGCGCGCGCTGCGCGAGGTGCGTGCGGCGGGGCTGGTGCGACGAGGTGCGTGCGGGATTGCTGGCGTCCGTCGATCCAGTACCTGCACTGCACGAATGAACCTGCCCTCTCTCCCCCCCCATACGCCGTCGATGGAGTACCTGCATTGCACATATGCACTATTTAACCCCTCCCCTCAACGCATACCCCGCCCTCCACACCCTCACACTCACCTCGTTGCACTCGGTCATGTACCTGCCCTCCCTCGTTGCACTCGGTCATGTACCTGCCCTCCCTCGTGCACGCAACCTGACTCTTTTGCAGCGTGTGCGCTCGTCGCTTGATCTCTCCCCGTCCCCGCACGACAGAGTGGCTGCCTGTGCTGCTTATCCTGGCCCATCTCGCTCGCCCTTTACCCACCGCTATGCTTCTGGCTCTGCTCTGCTCTGTGAGTGTGGGTGTGTGCGTGCGTGTGCGTGTGTATGTCTGTGTGCATGTGTGTCTGTGTGCATGTGTGCATGTGTGTCTGTGTGCATGTGTGCATGTGTGTCTGTGTGCATGTGTGCATGTGTGTCCGTGTGCATGTGTGCATGTGTGCATGTGTGCATGTGTGCATGTGTGCATGTGAGCATGTGTGTCCGTGTGCATGTGAGCATGTGTGTCCGTGTGCATGTGAGCATGTGTGTCCGTGTGCATGTGAGCATGTGTGTCCGTGTGCATGTGTGTCCGTGTGCATGTGAGCATGTGTGTCCGTGTGCATGTGAGCATGTGTGCATGTGTGTCCGTGTGCATGTGTGTCCGTGTGCATGTGAGCATGTGTGTCCGTGTGCATGTGAGCATGTGTGCATGTGTGTCCGTGTGCATGTGAGCATGTGTGTCCGTGTGCATGTGAGCATGTGTGCATGTGTGCATGTGAGCATGAGCAGGCGGGCATAACCCCGGGGGACATAGACTGCCTGTGCTACACCAAGGGGCCGGGCATGGGCGCCCCTCTGCAGGCCGTTGCCATCGTCATCCGCACGCTCGCCCAGGTGACGTGCGGTGGAGGTAGGTGAGGTGGGATGGGGGTAGGTGAAGAAGTGGAGTGGAGTGAGGGCAGGTGGAGTGGAGTGAGGGCAGGTGAAGTGGAGTGAGGGCAGGTGAAGTGGGGCTAGGTGAGGTGACCGCTAGCAACTGTGGTGCAAGCCCACCCATAGTCCCGGTGAAGTACTGTGTGGCCCTCATCGATGCAATTCCCAAGGCCAATCAACCCCCCTCTCTCCCCCCCCCCCGCCATCCCACATCCCCCACCCTCCCCCCCTTATCCCCCATCCCCCATCCCCCATCCCCCATCCTCCCCCCCCCCTCCCAATCCCCCATCCCTCATCCCCCATTACCCCCCCCTCCTCACCCGTCCCCCAATCCCTCCCCCCCCCCCCCATCCCCCATCCCCCCCCCCCTCATCCCCCATCCCCCAATTCCCTGTCCCCCATCCCCCCCTTACCACCGTGAGTGAGCAGCTGTGGTGCAAGCCAACAGTCCACCCCACCCCTTCGCCCCTCTCTGCCCTCCTTCCCGCCCTCCCCTCCTACCATCGTGAGCAGCTGTGGAGCAAGCCCATAGTGCCGGTGAATCACTGTGTGGCGCACATAGAGATGGGGCGCTGTGTGACTGGCGCCCATGACCCCGTGGTGCTCTACGTCAGCGGAGGCAACACGCAGGTGCGTGCTGTGCGGTGGTGTGTGGTGCAGTGCTGTGCGGTGGTGTGTGGTGCAAGCGCATAGTGCTGGTGAATCACTGTGTGTGTGGCGCACATTGAGATGGGGCGCTGCGTGACTGGCGCTCATGACCCCGTGGTGCTGTATTGGCAGCGGAGGCAACACTCAGGTGCGTGCTGTGCTGTGCTGTGCTGTGCTGTGCTGTGCTGTGCGGTGCTGTGCTGTGCTGTGTGCATTCCCATCGGCCCCTAAAATGCGTTCCTCGGCTATTCAATGCCTGTGACCCTAAGGTGTGCTCCTCACCTTATGCTCTAATCAGCAGCTGCATGTCCTGCTTGGCCCCCTCCCGTCTCCTGTGGTTACGGGACGGTACCGCACCACACCCTTCCCCCTCCTCCCCCCCCCTTGGCCCCTCCTGGTGATAGCATACTCGGAAGGGCGGTACTGCCTATCTGGGGAAACCATTGACGTAAGACGCGCCTCAGGACCCACCTTGCTTCCCCCTTCCCCCCCATTTCCCGCCCCTCCCTCATCCAGGTGATATCATATTCAGAGGGGTGCTACTGAATAATCGGGGAGACCATCGACATCGCGGTGGGCAACTGCGTGGACTGCGTGGACTGCCTGCGCCCTTCTCATCCATGATAGCACCCCGTGATAGTGCGCGGGGCAGTAGCATAACCACAACCTGCATCCCCCTCCCCTTTCCCCCTACGTTGGCAAATACGCGTATCACGTATAATACGCTAGCGTATTATACGCTGGGTATATACGCGGTACGCAATGGCTGGCGTACTGCTGATACGCTAAAATACGCTGGGCGGGCAGGTAAAACTTTTTTCCCGGGCAGTAGAGCTGTAAACAGAGGCTGCATTGCTCGTCGAACTACTAGGAGCTAAGCTTGACGCCATGGCGCGCGACTACGGAACGTCTAACTAACGGGGAAGAATGCTAGACGAGACTTGCGGGAAGTAAATTGAAGAGCAGTGTGGAAGTCGTCGACCTAAAAATGCTCACGAAGTGACGAACATTTGAAAGGGGTGGTTGGGTTTGAGAGGTTGGGTAGGGTGGTGTGTGGTTGAGTGGGTGGGAAAGTTTGGATTTTGAAATTCGAAGTTCGGACGTGGGTTGGGTGCTTGAGCGAGTTCGCGGTAACAATTCGCGAAGCCGCAAAGTCGTCGCGAATTTTCTCAATTTCGGATTTTTTTTTCCGCAGGCTGCCCGGGCGTATTTTCGCAAATCCAGAGCGTATTAGCGTACCACGTATATACGTGGTACGCCAGCCTTCCCAAAGCGTATCTGCCAACGTAGCTTTCCCCCTGCCTCCACCCAGGTGATAGCATATTCAGAGGGGTTCTACCACATGCTTGGGGAGACCATTGACATTTGAGGCGCCTCACCCTCCCCCCCCCTCCCCCTCCGTCTCCTCCTCCCCTCTCCTGGTCCCCCCACCCAGGTGATAGCATACTCAGAGGGGCGCTACCGCATATTCGGGGAGACCATTGACATCGCCGTGGGCAACTGCCTGGACCGCTTCGCCCGCGTGCTCAACATCTCCAATGACCCCAGCCCCGGCTACAACATCGAGCAGGTGAGGATGGGTGTGGATAGTTTCTGGTAGGTGTGGGTACGTGCGGGTAAATGGAGGTGTGTGCGGGTAAATGGAGGTGTGTGCGGGTAAATGGACGTACATGCGAGTAAATGGACGTACATGCGAGTAAATGGACGTACATGCGAGTAAATGGACGTACATGCGAGTAAATGGACGTACATGCGAGTAAATGGATGTACATAAATGGACGTACATGCGAGTAAATGGACGTACATGCGAGTAAATGGACGTACATGCGAGTAAATGGATGTACATGCGAGTAAAGAGTCACCGCATGCTGGACATTTCCAACAACCCAGCCCCGGCTACAACATCGAGCAGGTGGGTCATGCCAGCGCATGCATGGGTGTGCATGGGTGCAGGTAGGTGCGATGCGGGTGCGGTCAGATGCAAATGGACCGCTTCGCCCGCGTGCTGCACATCTCCAACTGCCCGGGCTATAACACCGAGCAGGTGATGCGGCCGCATGATGGGTGTTAGTAGGTTCCAGTAGGTTCCAGTAGGTGCGGGTAGGCATGGTTTGTATGACGATCGAGAGCACTGCTTTGTGTGGGTCCAAAGCAGTCGCTCGCACCAACCCAGGGCTACAAATGCTCTGCAAGGGGGGGGAGGGATCTGAGGAGGTGGAAAAATTGGGAGCAGAAAACCTGAGGGGGTAGAAATTTTCGGAGCAGGGAATGTGAGGACGTGGGAAGATTGGCTGAAGGGAAGAACACCAGACTGTGTGCAGCCCACAGGCGGGTATGGCCGCTGTGCACTGTATGTAGCCCTCACATTCACTCACTCTCTTTCTGCTCCCCTTGTGCTGCCAGTGCTCACCCTCTCCTAAACACCACTCTCACATCACCCCTCCCTCCTCCCCCCTCTCTATCACGCCTTATCTCCCATGGTCTCTCCACCCATCCTGGTCTCTCCACCCATCCTGGTCTCTCCACCCATCCTGGTCTCTCCACCCATCCTGGCCCCTCCACTCATCCTGTCCCCTCCACTCCTCCGCGCTCTGCAGCTGGCGAAGCAAGGGCAGCGCTACGTGGAGCTGCCGTACGTGGTGAAGGGCATGGACGTGTCATTCTCGGGCCTCCTCACGGCAGTTGAGGGCCTGGCACAGCGCGTTGCTGCACCGGATGCCGTGGGGGAGGATGGCTACACCGCAGCTGACCTCTGCTTCTCCCTGCAGGTCTGCCCTGCTCCTCATGTAGGCTTCTTTATGGGTTTATATTATCGTTTTTTATGAGCTCTGAATGGGCATATTATGAGCCTTCTTGGGGCTTTCTTACAGATGCTGGGTACGAAATGAATCAGTCTGACTGTGAGGGCCGTTGTGCGATCGGACTGTCTTTTGCGCTGGTTGATTGCTTGCTTCCTTGCTTGCTCCCTTCCTTGTGTGGTGCACAGGAAACTATCTTTGCAATGCTGGTGGAGACAACCGAGCGGGCCATGGCACACTGCAACAAGCGAGACGTGCTTATAGTGGGGGGCGTGGGCTGCAACATTCGCCTGCAGGAGATGATGCAGCAGATGTGCTTAGAGCGAGGGGGACGGCTCTTTGCCACAGACGACCGGTACTGCATTGACAACGGCGCCATGATCGCTTACACTGGGCTGCTGGCCTTTCAACATGGCGGGCTCAGCATGACTGTTCCTGTAGCAGAGTCTACTTGCACTCAGCGGTTTAGAACCGATGAGGTGGAGGCGGTGTGGAGGGAAGGGGAGGGGAGAAGGGCAGAGGGGGCGGAGGAGGGGTTGGAGGGAGGAAGAGGAGTTGTGGGAGTGGAGGTTGCAGCACGGGATGGAGAGCGGAAGCATGGGGCTGAGAATGGAGATGCGGTTGGAATTGGTGGGAAGGGGTGTGCAGGTGAGCAGGAGGGGTTGGGAGTGGTGGATCATGTGGCAGGGCATTTAGAAAAGAAGCTCAAGGCTGGTGGGGAGGAGAGAAGGCAAGAGAGGGAAGAGAAGGCAGCAAAAGAGGAGCCCTCTCTTATGCTGGTAGGCTGAAGTTCAAAGTTTATTTCCTCTTGAGTGCTGATTTGTGTCCTTGTAAATTGTACCTGCTCATTGTATATTAGGTTAAATGGATTGCTGCTTGGTACAACATTCACTACTCTTGTTGCATAATCACTTCCTAGTGTCTAGTCAAGTGACTTCAGATGTACCAGAACCGAATGAAACAAACACATTGCAATACTTTTGGGTGGTAAACATGCCCTATTGTACACAACATCAGTGGCAGTCCAGTGCTTCTGGTTCTGGCCACAGTTCCTAACGCCTTTACACAAGGCATTTATTCATTCTAATCTATCCTAAAAGTGCCTGAGTGTAGCACTCATTCTCCTGAGGGTGACTCGGCTGCTAGAGCCGGATATTCTGCGACGGGCACCAAACCTGCCGATGCCAACTGAAATCCCTGTTGCTGCCAAGCAACTCCTCTCCTCCTCCTCCTCATCATCCATGCAGAGTTGGTTCATGTAGCACACACTCCCCTTCCCACCCAATCCAAAGCCCTGGCCGCTGTAACTCTCATCCTCCTCATCGTCATCCCCAAACAGCTGGTTTGACAACACGTTTTTCTTCAACGACTTCCCAGCATCCTTCGCCTCCATGGTCCATCCCATCCCACTGCTGCGCAAGCCTTGTCCGATCCCCTTATTCACACTCCCCTTCCCATCAAACATGAAGTCGCTGTAACTCTCATCCTCCTCATCGGCCCCGAACAGCTGATTTGAAAACACACCTTTCCCCACCGGCTGCCCAACATGCGTCGCCTCCATGTTCCATCCCTTCCCACTGCTGCAAAAACCTCGCCCGATCCCCATCTTCACACCCAAGAAGTTAGTGCCGCTGCTGCGCAAGCCTTGTCCGATCCCCTTATTCACACTCCCCTTCCCATCAAACATGAAGTCGCTGCAACTCTCATCCTCCTCATCGGCCCCGAACAGCTGATTTGAAAACACACCTTTCCCCACCGGCTGCCCAACATGCGTCGCCTCCATGTTCCATCCCTTCCCACTGCTGCAAAAACCTCGCCCGATCCCCATCTTCACACCCAAGAAGTTAGTGCCGCTGCTGACTGCAGAGGAGGAAAAGTCACCGTGCGCAGAGGAGGAGGAGGAGGGGGTGGAGATGGAGCTATCCGAGGAGAGGTCAATAAGACACACACTGTGGCTGCTGCAGCTGCTCTCACTGCGGAACATGCTGCAGCAGCCGCTGCTCTCCTCTGCTCCCACCTTCACACTTTCTGCGACCAGGAATGAAGGAGCTACCTCCTCTGACTCCACACCCAAGAGGAACGCTTCCTCCTCCGAGCCATCAATACATCCGTTAAAGGCAGCTGGAGCCTCAAGCTTCGCAGCAGAGGCCTCGACATTGATGTCATCAGCAGGAGCCTCGACATTGACGTCAGACGCCCCAACAATGACAGCATCAGCCTCCAGCTTGGCAGCAGGAGCCTCGACCATGAGCGGAGCAGCCTTGGTTGCTACTTGATCATCGCTTGACCTGGTCCACTGGAAGTCGATCTGCCAAGTTGCAAGAGAAAGCCGCGTTAGCATCTGCTATAAGTGACTCTGACTTGGTAAAGTAAGAAGTTAACTTGCAAGATATGAACAAAGGGGAAACGGGAAGGTGAGAGTTTGTTCTTACCAGGGACGGAAGAGAGACCAAGCTGCAAACATAGCGTGCAAGGGAGGCATCCTGCTCCCAGCAGCTCGAGAACAGAACATCAATGTCCACGCAGGGACTCGCAGCAACGATGCCGGCCATGCTGTTGATTGTCGTTGTAGGGACGACGGACTGGCTAAGTAGCTTAGAGCTAAGAGACTGATATCGAGCTCTCAGAAGGTTCAAACTGCAGGTACTGAGGCCTTGTTAAAATCAGGGGACTGTAGGAACTGAAAGGCAGATTGATGATTCACAGAACTGATCAATGAATGGGAAAGAATCTCCCTAAGCTCTTTATACTTTCTTCGATTGCTGAACTGAGGGGTATGACTGGAGGCGAGAATGGGGTGTGAGGCTGAAGCAGGGACGGAATGCGGCGAGAGGCACGGAGGGGGTGGGAGGGAGTCAGTGGTGCGAGGCAGCTTCGCGAATTCGTCGCCTGTGGTTTGGGTTGCTTGAGGGTGGCATGTTCGCAAGGGCTCGGTTGGTCTTCGGTGCCCATGGCGAGGCCTAAAGTGTCGAGGCGCAGTCCGTTTGAGCAGGGACGACTCAGAACGCTACAGATGTGCTTTTTGTAACAGCGTGGAGAGACCCTACTGGAGCACGCAATGCGTAAGGGTCCGTTGCAATCGGGAGTACGAGTGCGGCCCGGGCGATTGTGAAAGGCGGGAAACTGGCTAGGTTCGGAAGCTGTCGAGATTCGCGCGGGGATTGTGGTATGGATTGACAAACCTAGTGAATGTCGGGGCACTGAATCACTCACAATGCTCAGGGGTCCGCCGCTACCGGAAACATGAAATGCGGCACGGGAGTGAGAAAAGTGGGAACAACGGTAGGTTCGGACGTTGGCGAGAGGCTTGGAAAATGTGGTATGGTATCCCATAGTTACGAAGCTCAGCTGTGACCTAGAGAATACCAGAAAAGTAAGGGCTTGTCGAAGGGGTTGCCTTGAGAGGAAAGTCACGTGAAACTTGCCAAAAACAAGTTCAGAGAGATCACAGTACCTTAAAGCCCGAGTACAGCATGATTATTTTTAAAGCCCGCGGGCCAAATTGCGGGCCTTGCGGGTCAAGCATTTAAAACTTGACGAACTAGTGTTTGCAAGGTTTTAAAAAAAGCGCGCCTGCAATTTGGGACTTTCGGGGACTGAACCAACCCCCAGGGCGAAATAACCGAAATCGATAACGTTCGCCAAACCCCAGACCAGAAAAACCCCCTCGCGTCAAGCTTTTAAAAGTTGTGCAATTTGGGCTGCCGGCTTTAAGTTCAAGAACTACATATACGTTTTGACATCTCTACATAATACAGAGCATCCAGCGAAAAGTGCATAGTGGTAACAAGCGCAGAACTGCCAGCCAATGGCATTGCCCGTGGCCTTGATTTTGAACATGACCATCATCTGTAACAGTTATTGCGACAGGGACTTTAACAGCAAGTGTGACAGGGGCAGAGCCCCATTCACCTCCTGGGCTGGCCTGTGGCAGCACTCCATGCTGTGAGTACATGATCCACTACAGCTGGCACAGTGGCACCGTTACCAACCATTACTAACCATGGCTAACCGTGCTAACCATTACCATGTGTGTAACTATGACCGACTGTAACAGTGACATGAACAGCGAGGGTAACAGGGATTACGCTGCCCGTCACCTCCTGGGCTGGCCTGTGGCGGCACTCCATGCTGTGAGCACATGATCCACAATGGCTGGCACAGTGGCACCGTTACCAACCGTTACTAACCGTGGCTAACCGTGCTAACCGTTACCATGTGTGTAACTATGACCGACTGTAACAGTGGCATGAACAGCGAGGGTAACAGGGAGCACGCTGCCCGTCACCTCCTGGGCTGGCCTGTGGCGGCACTCCATGCTGTGAGCACATGATCCACAATGGCTGGCACCCCCACCCCATGTTTCACCTGCATGCATAGTGAGGATAACATGTTGGTATGAGCACAACAGGAGCAGCACTCCATGCTGCCGGCACATGGTCCTCGTTTTCTATGCCCGGAATAGTGGCACCACCCCCACCCCATGCTTCACTACAACACACTTTTGAAGGCGCCTTAAAAGCGAAGTGCAGAGCGACAGACACAAGCTTTAGAGAGGAGAAAACAGACTCTCCCGCCACAGGTGAGAGGGGCGGAATCAGATACTCCCCTCCATCCACCTCTCCCTCACCCACTCGACCGTGAAAACATGAAGGTTTTCCCAGCCCCTAAGCACTGACTTTCTTTGAGAGCATTGGCATCACACACACACACCCTTCATCCACCTACCTTCTGCAAACTATCCCCTAATCACCCACCCGTGCCAACACCAGAGGCCCGCCATCTTTGATGCGCAGCGCACCTCTTTCCATAACTGCAAGGCTCACACAACCCCCTTTCCACACACATGCACACCTCCATGCATTCCCCTCCTGTCCCCCACCCACCCGTGCCAACACCAGAGGCCCGCCATCTTTGATGCGCAGCGCACCCGCTTGCAAGACCACCAGGCTACACGTGCAGCTATCCTCCTTGTAAAGAGGGTCCTTTTACACGTTCCACACGCACGCACACCTCCCTCCATCAATTCCCCTCACCTGTGCAAACACCAAGGGCCCCCCATCCCGCATGCGCAGCGCGTCCGTTTCCATAACCGCCAAGTCAGCACCGATCGCAGGCGCCAGGTCAGTCTTGTTCACCACCTGATGATGCCACGTCAGCATGGCGGAAAGCACGAAGAAGAGAGCACAGAAGTAAGGAGGCAAGAGAAGTGGGGAGAATGGGGGAGAGAGAGGGGAGAGGAGGGGTGGGGTTCAATGTCATTTCTCTCTCCCATTACAATACCTCCACACCCGCCTTCTCTCAACACACACCACCCCTGCTCACACCTCCATATCCCCACGGAATCAACCAGGCCATCCCCAGAGCCTCATTGCTTGTACACCTCGCAGCAACAGGTCCGCCTGGGAGACCCCAGGGCCACTCTTCCTCGAGATTTTCCTCCCCATGTGCACTCACACCCATCGTCCCCCCCCCCCCCCCACCTTTGAAGCGCCTCAAACGTCACCCCAGAGCACACTCCGTTCCCTCAACATTTTCCCTGCAAGAACACTTGTACTCACATCCATCCTCCTCCATCCAACCAACCCCTTTCCTCTTTCCAACAGGTCTGCCACTGCCAGCATAATATCTCTCCTTTCCGTCCTTATGAGGTCACCATGGCTGCAGTGAACGTTTTAAGGAAGGTACGGCTGGGAAACGGTTTGAAAGAAACACCTTACTTGAGAAACGTGATTTTCTCACACCCCATTCCTCTCACCAGCAGGTCTGCCTGTGTGATGCCAGGGCCGCCCTTCCTGGGGATCTTATCCCCGCCCGACACGTCAATGATGTAGATGATGTAGTCTGCTAGCTCTCGGCTGAAGTTGGCCGCTAGGTTGTCTGCGAGGGAGGTGAACAGGGGAGAAAATTGGGGCGGGAAGGGAGGGGTATCTGTCTTACCCCCATGCATGTCACACGTCAATGAGGTAGTCTGATAGCTCCCGGCTCACGTTGGCCGCTAGGTTGTCTGGGGGGGAACTGGACGGGAGACAGAGAATGGAACCAGATGGGGAGATAGATGAGGAAACAAATGGGGTCTCATCACCAACCCCCGACACATGAATGATGGGGTCTCATCACCAACCCCCGACACATGAATGATGTAGATGATGTGGTCTGCTAGCTCTTGGCTGACGGAGGTGCAGAGGGGGATGTGAGCAAAGGAGAATACGGGAAGCCTCAATTCGCATGCCTCCACACACTCAGCACTCCTCCCTCCACCGCTCTCAACACTCCCTTGCCACGCCCTTCCTCTCACCTTCCATCCGTCATTCCACTCACCTCCTCCTGATTCGCACAACAGCATGTGGGATATGAACCGTGCTGACGCTCATACCGTCAGCGCATGGCGGCATGGAGACATGATGAGACCCCTTCATGCCACAGTGCCACCCACTCACCTCCGCCTGACTCGCACAGCAGCATATCCGCCTTGAACTCAGTGGAAAGCTCCTCCAGTGGTGGCGTGAGGACAGCCAGTCACATGCAAACATGAGAAAAGACCCTTCATGCCACCCACAGTGCCACCCACTCACCCCCGCCTGACTCGCACAGCAGCATATCCGCCTTAAACTCAGAGGAAAGCTCCTCCAGTGGCCCCAGGTTGATGCTGATATCCTCCCGGATGGCGGCGTGCGGACAGCCGCCCGTCTCCACCGCCCGGATGCGGCCGGGCGGCGAGAGGGCGGCGTGCTTGATCAGGAACTCGCCGTCCTCCTGCGTGAAGATGTCGTTGGTCACCGCTGCCAGGCTGTACTGCTCTCTGAGTGTGCGACACAGGGCCAACATCAGGGCAGTTTTCCTGCAGGAGAATAATGCGGGTTGCGAACGTGGAGTGGAGTGCATGCAGAGGGAAGCAGGGGAGCAGCAGAGCGCATGAGGGAAGCTGGTTGTTGTCTTGTGTGCAAGATGTCGTTGGTGACAGCTGCCTGCCTGCACTGGTCTCTGAGCGTGCGACAGAGGGCGAGCATGAGGGCGAGCATGAGGGCGAGCATGAGGGCGAGCATGAGGGCAGTCTTCGTGCAAGGGAACAGTTGGGATGCAGGGGAGCAGGAGGGTGGAGATGCCGTGGTGACTGCTGCCTGCCTGCCAGGCTGCACTGGTCTCAGAGCCTGTTTTAGAGTCGACTTAAGAACGCGGCACAGGGCGAGAATGAGAGCAGTCTCTCTGTGGGATGGTTAGGGGCGCATGGGTGAGTGGAGGAATGGGGGTGCAGGGGACACATAGTGAGCATGTGTTGTTGATTTCCACTGCCAGGCTGTATTTGTCCCTTAGTGTGTGACAGAGCGCCAGCATGAGAGCAGTCTTTCTGTGAGATGATTGGGGACGCATGGCTAAGTTGGAAAAAACGCTAGTTTCAAGTTGCGTATTGAGTTTATACGCATCTAGAATTCGTACGCTGCGGATTTTTCTAAAATTCGCCAAATTTGGCTCGGGCTGACCGGAAAAAAAAATCAGATGAGTTCGCGATCTGGCGAACTCAAATTTGAGTCTCGAAATTCAGATCTGAGTTCGCGCGTTGCTAAAGCAACTTCAGATCTGAATTTCGAGATTGTTGGTGGATCATTCCCTCTTATCCACCGCTCACAACCCACCTTCACCCCATCCAATTTGTTGCCAACTTCTACCAGAATCACTCAATGTCAGGCCGCTTTTCCCTTCAATAATCTTTGCGTTCAATTTCTTCCTCTTCACTTTGACGATGACCTACTACAGCAGCAGTTAGGTAATGGATTACTACAGCAGCTCCGGTTTCCATCTCTTGGTCGAGCATATAACCTGCCCGGGATTTTTTTTTCCTGCCCGGGCAAGCGGATTCTTGTGCGTACCAGACCCCTCCCGGCCAGCGTTTTGCGTTTAGACGCTAGCGTTTATACGAAAGCGTACAAAACGCGAAACGCGTTTTTTCCAACTTAGGCGCATGGGCGGGCGGGGAATGGGAGTGCAGGGGGAATGGGAGTGCAGGGGGAATGGGAGTGCAGGGGGGATGGGAGTGCAGGGGGGATGGGAGTGCAGGGGGGATGGGAGTGCAGGGGGAATGGGAGTGCAGGGGGGATGGGAGTGCAGGGGGGATGGGAGTGCAGGGGGGATGGGAGTGCAGGGGGGATGGGAGTGCAGGGGGAATGGGAGTGCAGGGGGGATGGGAGTGCAGGGGGGATGGGAGTGCAGGGGGGATGGGAGTGCAGGGGGGATGAGTGGGAGTGAAGATGTCGGGTAACCGCTGCCAAGCCTTTCTTGTCCTTTAGCGTGCAGCACAGAGCCAGCACGAGAGCCGTTTTGCTGCCAAAGATTGTGAGGGGGGAGTGTGTGAATGTGGGAAACGGGGAAAGTGGGAATGAGGGAAAGGGGGAATGAGGTAAATGAGGGAAACGGGGAAAGTGGGAATGAGGGAAGTGAGGGAAACAGGGAAAGTGGGAACGAGGGAACGAGGGAACGAGGGAATGAGGAAAGCGGGAAAGAGGGAACGAGGGAAAGAGGGGAAAGGGGAACGAGGGAAAGAGGGAATACCAGAAATAGAAAAATTGGGGGAAAACGTCGTAGAGGGAAAGAGATGGATGGGCGTCAGAGGGAATGGGGGAATGGGGGCGGATGGGGAAATGGGGGAATGGTTGAGGGCATAGAGGGGAGGGGAGGGACAGTTGGTCTCTGATGGTGCGATATAGCGCCAGCAGAGAGCAATGGGCTGTGAAGGGGATCAATGGGGTAATAGGGGAATGGGGGAATGGGGGCGGATGGGGAAATGGGGGAATGGTTGAGGGCATAGAGGGGAGGGGAGGGACAGTTGGTCTCTGATGGTGCGATATAGCGCCAGCAGAGAGCAATGGGCTGTGAAGGGGATGAATGGGGTAATAGGGGAATGGGGGAATGGGGGCGGATGGGGAAATAGGGGAATTGGGGAATGGGGGCGGATGGGGAAATAGGGGAATGGGGGAATGGGGGCGGATGGGGAAATAGGGGAATTGGGGAATGGGGGCGGATGGGGAAATACGGGAATGGGGGCGGATGGGGAAATAGGGGAATGGGGGAATGGGGGCGGATGGGGAAATAGGGGAATGGGGGAATGGGGGCGGATGGGGAAATAGGGGAATGGGGGAATGGAGGCGGATGGGGAAATAGGGGAATGGGGGAATGGGGGCGGATGGGGAAATAGGGGAATTGGGGAATGGGGGCGGATGGGGAAATAGGGGAATGGGGGCGGATGGGGAAATAGGGGAATGGGGGAATGGGGGCGGATGGGGAAATAGGGGAAGGGGGGAATGGGGGCGGATGGGGAAATAGGGGAATGGGGGAATGGAGGCGGATGGGGAAATAGGGGAATGGGGGAATGGGGGCGGATGGGGAAATAGGGGAATTGGGGAATGGGGGCGGATGGGGAAATCGGGGAATGGGGGAATGGGGGCGGATGGGGAAAAAGGGGAATGGGGGAATGGAGGCGGATGGGGAAATAGGGGAATTGGGAAATGGGGCCGGATGGGGAAATAGGGGAATTGGGGAATGGGGGCGGATGGGGAAATGGGGGAATGGGGGCGGATGGGGGAAGGAGGGCGGATGGGGGAAGGAGGGCGGATGGGGGAAGTAGGCAAGACGGATCGGGGAAGGAGGGGGTGAGGTGACACCCGGCACGCCTCCTTCCCCCATCACCCTTCAGATTCCCCGCTCCCTCCTTCCTCTTCCGCCCTCCGCCTTCCCCCACACAACCTGAGCGCAATGCACCCGTTCAATTTTCCTTCTCTCTCCCTCTCTCCTCTCCTCCTCCCTTGTCCCCCCTTCCCCTTCCCTCCCCCGCCTCTCCTCCGCCCGTTTCCCTACCTTCCCGTCCCCCCCCCCCCCCCCCCCCCCCCGCGTACCCTGATCCGACGGGTCCGCCGATTCCAACGGTAAACGCGCGCTCCGCCAGGTCGCGGTTCGGCAGGGGCGGCGCGCGCAGCGCGAAGCTCCCCGCGCTGTCGAGCGGCTCGTGCGAGTGCGGCGCGAGCCCGTCGTGCGAGTGGTACACGCGCCCGTCCGCGCCGCGGAACTCGTCGGCCGGTGCTGACGCGTCGCCGCTGGATTGGACAAGTGGTTCCCCAAAAAAATGAGCACACATGAAGATGAGGAAAAGGGGAGAGGCGGAAAATTATATTATGATAAAATAGGGATGGAATAGAAAAAGGAATGCACGCATCAACGATTGGCGGCCATAAAGGCACGCTCGATTACGGTAGAACGAGAATGGATTCAAGGGATCACTGACGTTCCAGGATGGTCGTGGTTATGGTGGTGGTGGTGGTGGGGATGGTGATGGTCGTCGTCGTGCGAATGCGAATGCGCGTGCGCGTGCAAATCCGCGGCATGACCGTGGCTACGCGCGGTTCCGCCTTCCGCCTGCTGCCGCCCTTCCGCTCCTTCGTCCCCAGCCATTCGTTTTCTAAGATTTGATTCGTAGCAGACTGCTGCTTCTAAGAACTAATTCGAAGAAAACTGCTGCTGCTCTTAAGTTGCAAGACCCACAATGGCCAAAAGCAAGAATCTCGTAAAACTGCTGCTCCGAGTAACTCGTGTATCAGAACAGAAACGAGGGGAAAAGGAACAAAAAAAGCAGCCAGCCCGCGTCGCGCGTCGAAAGCCAGTACCTGGAGCAACCCCCTTGGGACTTCCGCAGCAACAGGAATCGAGCAGCTTAGGCAAGCCGTGGCAAGCAACCCGCTCGATGAAATGGCTTCGAGTAGAAAGGAGAGGCGACAGCAGCGAGCAGTAATTGAAAAGCCTTTTTTATCTAGAGTGAAATAGCTTTGCAAGATCGGTGCTCCAGAAAATCTCGGGGTGGAAAGCTCACAGAGCACGATGATTGGACTTAGAGCGGACAACGGAGCAGCCTGCGATATGGACGAGGCTTATATTGCGGATAGAATGGGTTCTGAAAATAAGTGATGTAAGGGCGGGTCAGGTAGGTTCCGTTTTCACAATTTTTTCTTTTCATCCCCGATTTGAGTGCGTAACTGTACTTTTTATGCAATTTCCTATCGCGGACACGAAACGAACAGTGAGTCGGTTCAGGATGAAAATGTCCTGGAATGTTTGGTGGTTACGACTTCAGGTTCATGCCAGAAACGTGCAGCAGTTCACAATTTGTCCAGCAAAGGCTAGAGTAACAAACCTTTTCGCCTAGCTGACTTCGCTCTCTTCGCCTTTTCCGCCCGCTCGCCAAATCTTTGCCTCCCTATTGCCAATGCAGGGTGGCGTGTGTGCTGTTCGCGCCATTGATTCGCGAGAATGTGGTAACTATTTTTCAGGCAGGGGGTGGTTGTGTGCATGAACTGATCTGTGTCAGAACACGCTTCACGTCATGACTAGTTTGACTCGAACTGAACATAAAACACTGCTCGGTACAGTCAGAGAAATTGACACAAAATGCGTTATTTTTACGAAAATGGCTGAAACGCAACCTACCTGACCCGCCCTAATCGATGGCGGCTCAGCTTGATAATCGCAAGTGTAATGGTCAACTCGCTATTGCATCTACTACCACTCGTCTTCATTTTGTGGAGGGGATGATCGGGCCTAATAAAAAAAAGGCTCAGGAGCTTCGTTTCACACTTGAAAATGAGCACCCTGTGGGTACGTCCATGAAAATACAGTCCCAAAGTGCTGAATTCATCCCTTGGCTCCAGACACTGCGTCGCTCGGCTCGTGACGATGCCACCCTGGCCCGTTTCACATCCCTTCAGGGCCCGGGGGCTGGTGCATGGGTTTCGGCGGTTCCGGCTCACTCAGATCTCACATTCACTGCGGCGGAGTGGGGCATTGCTGCTGCTATACGGCTCGGGCTCCCAATTCAGCAGCTGCAGGTGGCGGGGAGGTGTGTTTGTGGCACAGCATATGTTGACTCAGCAGACCCGCATCATGCCCTGAGATGCAAGCACCAGCATGGTCCATCTCGGGTACATGATGAGGTGAAGTTTGCGGTGGCGAAGATCTCTAAGGCGTCTGGGGGGGTGGTGACAATGGAGGATAGTGTGGTGCTGCAGGGGAAGCGGGTTGATGTGGCGGTGCGACGACCAATGGCTGGAGAGGCTCACGCCCTGGAGATCAGCGTCGCGGACCCGCTATCGCTGTCTCCATCTTTGCTAGGACAGTGCGGGCGTCAAATAGGCGTGGCGGCAAGAGAATGGGAGCGTCGTAAAACGAGCGATTACGCGCCTCTGCTTGCACGCAACCGGGGCGTGCAGTTCACTCCTCTGATAGTGGAGACGTGGGGGTGTCTCGGCGGTCGCTTTCGGAGGTGGCTTCGTCAGCAGGGAGATGCGCACGTGGGGCTAGCTGTGTCGCGGGGGGCTTGTCGGGAGGACGACACTGTGTTTTCGGCTTATCTTCTAGGGTCACTGAAGGCGCTCATCGGGGTGGCGTTGCAACGTGCGCAAGCCCGTGTCATCCTGCTTCGAGCGGCGTCTTCTATGGGGGGGATTAACGTTGACTTGGTGGACCGGGAGTGGGACGATGGCGATGCGGAAGGCGGGGCTCTCTGGGTGGAGGCCCCGTACATGGTGGATTCGCTGTTGTGATTGGGGGGGGGGGGGAAATGGGGTGTGGGATGGGATGTCTTGACAGGGTGTCTTGACTGGGCGTTTTGATTGGGTATCTTGAGGGGGGGTTTTATGTGTGTTGCATTTGGGTTCTTCTTGGCGGTTTCACTTTCCTTCTCCCTTTCTCTTTTCTTTTCTTTTCTTCATCACTGGAGATATACCACATTACATCTCAACACTGCTTGGCTGGTCGGTTTGGCCCCATGAGGCTCCCGAATGTTGACTATAAGTCGCTGATGTTCGTCACTGCAAATGAAACCCTATTAATTAGCCGTGGCACTCATCTGCTAAGAGCGTGTTCCTCCGGCCTCATATCAGGCCACCTCGTACCAAGAATGTACTTTTCGCCAGGTAAAACTAACGAGAGGTTTTTGGTTTTGGGGAATTTTGAGTGAGAGCCTGATATGAGGTTCGACTGATACGAGGTGTAGGAACACGCTCTAATGAAAACACACATACCATAAAAACTCTACATCAACACACATATAACTCCTGTGTGAAAAGGGCAGGCCAAACAATAAATTACTCATACCACCAATGTCCTGAGCTTTTCGATCATAGGGCTCAACAGCTGGTTGCGATAACCACTGCCACATGCGCATGGGTGGCATTCCTGGCATGGCATATGGCATGGCAGCAGGGCTTCAGATTCGTTTTGGGCCACCCTTAGTAATCAGGGTTCTAGGTATAGTCAACCCTGATGCGTAGGGTAAAAATTTTGTTTCCCTGACAAATGCAGGGTAAAAAAACAGTTAGTCTGTTTGGGCAGGGTATTCTTAAAAACTTATGGTTAGTTTGAATCTCGACGCATCCAAGATCAGTGGCTAGTAGTTCAGCTAGTTCGATTGCGCATTAGATCTGTAATAACGCAAGGTCAAATCTCACTGATGGTATCGTTTTGCAGGGACCTGTATAGTGTTCCGTCTCGCTACGGAGCACTCAGTACCAGTATAGCTTGGATTGTACACTGTACAGTCAGAGTAATGTGTTCCTTATGCTGTTTTTCAAAGGGTATTGAAAAACTTACACTTTCTGGCCTAGGGTAAAAAATCCACTACCATGCCTGTGAAAGGGTAACTGAAAAAAAGCGGCCGCCAGTCAGTGCAAAAAGGGTATTTTACCCTGATAACGAGAGGCCTGCATGGCAGGCACATGCAGGTACTGCGGACCGGGTGTAGCTGCAGCAGCAGCACCAGCTGAACCAGCTGAGCCACCACCAGCAGGCACAGTAGCAGCAGCACCAGAAGCAGCAGATGAACTAGCTGAAACACCAATACCAGCAGCAGCAGTAGTAGCACCAGTTGAACCACCATCACCACCAGTTGAACCACCATCACCACCAGTTGAAACACCACCACCACCACCAGCAGAACCAGCAGCTGAACCGGCAGAACCACCACCACCGCCAGCAGGAGCAGGATGTTTTGGCACGTGACATGTACCATTCCTGTCTTGCATAGTACGAGGCTGGGGTCGGTGAGGGTGCGAGTGGAGATGAGGGAGAGGATGAAGCATCCCCCCAGGCATGAACGGAATGGGCATCAAGCCCATGGGTGCTCCCATTGGGCCCAGCTTGCCCGGCTCACACACCAGATGCAGCATCACGGGCACAGCACCAGGCGAACCCGGAGAGCCCGGAGCACAAGGCGCAAACCCAAGAGGAGGAGAAACAGCAGCTGCCTGCCGGGCGGCTGAAGAAACCATCGATACTGCTGCTGAAGTGGCGGCCGTGGATTGGGCGGCACCAGATGCGGCCAAGCTGTCAAGGTGAGAGAGGAATGATGTCGACTAGTTTGGGGCATGGGGTACAAAAGTGACGAGAGAAAAGTTGTACCCCCTAAGAAACACCCCTACAAAACCTAAACCTAAATTATATAAATCATATAATTTGACACACCCCCATAGGTGAAGTAGGGGGATAGCCAAACCTAACAGGGGTCACAAGACCAGTTCACATGCAGGTTTATAACACAGCAAGAGATACAGTGATCACATCCTAGCAAAAGTAAACATGCAGGCATATATATATATATAGTGATCACAGTACAAGCAGGGTCAAGAAGTAAGCAAGTGAGGTCCAGTAGGCACAAGGCCTAGCAGAGTGCAAAAGCGCTGATGGTCAACAGGCGGAAGCGCCTTGGTGAACACATCAGCAGTGTTGGCCTCAGTGGCCACGTAACGCAGACAAAGCTGACCACGCTGCTGCAGCTCTCGAGCAAGAAAGTACCGCAGAGCAATGTGCTTCGTTCTGTGCTCCAGTCTGTGCTCCTGACACAAGGCAATGGCAGCCTTGTTGTCGACGTACAGCACTGGAGGAGAACCAGGCCGCTCTCCAAGGTCGGTCAGCAGGTAGGTCAGCCAGCGTAGCTCCTGGGCAGCCATGGCTGTGGCGTAGATCTCAGCCTCACAACTGGAGCTGAGAACAGAAGAAGAGCGTGTAGAACGCCAGGAAACTGAGCCTGAGCCAAGGCTGAAGGTGTAACCCTGTGACGACCGCTGTGTAGCCTGGTCGTCTGCCCAAGAAGCGTCTGAGTGCCCTGTGAGAACAGGCCGGTCTCGCCCTCCAAGCACTAGCCCCATGCCCGACGTACTGCACAAGTAGCGCAACACCCTCTTAGCTGCATCCATGTGCTCCTTCCGGTGACGGCCGGGAGCGACATAGCGTGCAAGGATGCTAAGAGGGTATGCAAGGTCAGGTCGTGTGCAGGTCATCAGGTACATGAGGCAACCCACAAGCTCTGGATACGGGCCACTCGGCTCTACGGACTCATCCGAAGGCAGAGCTGAGAGCGAGTGTCCCGTAGGCAGAGGAGTGGGTTGAGGCGAGGAGTACGTGAAGCGGAAGCGCTGAAGGACCTGCTGCACCATGTGTGACTGAGTCAGGGTGATGGTGCGCCGTGCTCTGTCCCGGGTGATCCGCAAGCCAAGGTAGCTTGTCAGTTCACCCAGGTCTGTGCACGTGTGTCTCTTCTGCAGCTCCAACTTCACGTGGGCGAGACCAGCTCTGTCCGCTGTGGCAAAGACCAAGTCGTCGACGTACACGAGGATGTAGAACGGCGGCAGCGAGGTGTCGGTGCGTAGAAACAGCGACGGGTCAGCAGTAGAGGGAGCAAACCCAAGAGCCGCAAGTGTCGTGTTCAGTGTGTCGTGCCACTCACGCGGTGCCTGGCGGAGACCGTAGACCGGCCGCTGAAGCCTCCACTGGGTGCCAGGGGGAACCGACCCAGTGAAGCCAGGAGGGCGGCGCAGCCAGATCTCCTCGTGCAGGCTGCCCTGCAAGAAAGCTGTGCTGAAGTCAAGAGAGTGAAGCTCGTAGTCGCGCTGAGCGGCTATGTGCAGCAGCACTCGAAGAGTAGTCATCTTCGGGGTGGGGGAGAAGGTCTGAAAGAAGTCGACTCCCTCTCGCTGACTGAAGCCCCTAGCCACGTAGCGCGCCTTGAAGACAGGCGGAGAACCCGGCGGTCGCTTCACCCTGAAAATCCACATGCCACTGACGATGTTCGCCCCAGGAGGGGGAGCCTCGTCGACGTAAGTGCCAGTGGACTTCCAGGAAGCCATCTCTGCGTCCATGGCTGTCTGCCACTGAGAGGAGTAGGGACCCGCCATCGCCTCAGTGTAGGAGCGCGGGGTCGGGATGTCTGGTGCATCCGGGTCTCCCTCAGGGGCAACAAGCATGGACACGAGATGAGGCACAGCAGCAGCAAAGCAGTGAAACTCCTCCTGTCTGTCCTCAAGGACGTCCGTGCCAAGAGCACACTCACCCCCGACGGACGGAGGACAGGCAAACTCAGACTCAGCAACTAGGCTAGCAGCGTAGTCCAGGCGACAGCGAGAAGCAAAGTCAACCAGCTCAGCGACCAGAGCAGACGCAGCAGCGGACTCAAGAGACGGGTCAGTGACGACAGTAGCGAGAAAACGCGTGACAGTGGGACTGGCAGCACGACGGGAGTCAGACTCCGGGTCAGGAAGAGTAGGCAGCGAAGACTCAGGAGGAGACGGCAGCGGGACACGCTGCGGAGCAGTGGAGGGACGCAGAGTCATGTAGTGAGTGCCGGGGACAGGAGGAGGACGCTCACGCGGGGCACGACGACCGGTGCGCGCAGTACGGACAGGCGACGCTGGACGTGACTCAGGCGCACGACGCTCAGTAAGGCCTCCCGTGGGACCAGTGTAGGGAGAGGGACCAGGGAGAGGGGAGGCGGGCGGTAACTGTGACTGCGACTGGACTGGCGTGAGACCAAGAACCTGCTGAAGGAGCGGGACAAAGTAGGGTCGCGGCCGCGTAGCGGCTCCAGAACCAGTAGAGACAGCAGCGGCGGGGTCCTCAGCACCAGCGACAACGCCAACGTCCGGGTCCGCAGCACCAGCAGCAGCTCCAACGCCCGGGTCCTCAGCACCAGCGACAACGCCAACGTCCGGGTCCTCAGCACCAGCAGCAGCTCCAACGCCCGGGTCCTCAGCACCAGCGACAACGCCAACGTCCGGGTTTTCAGCACCAGCGACAACGCCAGTGTCCGGGTCCGCAGCACCAGCAGCAGCTCCAACGCCCGGGTCCTCAGCACCAGCGACAACGCCAACGTCCAGGTCCTCAGCACCAGGGGCACCACTCCGGAGACTGCAGCGCCGCGCGTACCACTCTCGGATCTGCTGAATGGGGGGGAGCTCCTGGGCAGGAGGGAAAGTACTGGGACGAGCTCCAGAAGCTCCGCTCCGGAGGCGGCAGTACTGTAGGTATCTCTCCTGCAGCTGCTGGGAGGAGAGAGCTCCTCCAGACGTAGTGCGCTCAGGCTCAACACCCCCAGACGCAGCACCCCCAGTCGCCACACCCCCAGGCTCCGCACCCCCAGGCTCAGTACCCCCAGGCTCCGCACCCCCAGGCTCGGGACTGTCAGGCTCCGCACTCTCAGGCTCAGCACCTCTGGCAGGGCGGGACTCGACAGCTACCTCAACAGGGTCAACCGGGTCTACCTGGGACACAC